AAACATATTCTTACAAAAATAAAGTGTAGTTAATTAATCTCGGGTGATGGTACAGGTGAAATTGTTATGGATATACAAACAAATTCTTCTCCATTGACACTGAAAGGAATCTGAAGAAAAGCGTAAAGAGAATTCATGTCTATTGAAAGTAATTTCCATACAGAATGTAAATGACTGAATAAACTAGAGCTCAGATCTATCACTTTTAAGACTGCTGGAAATGAAGGTTTACAGTGTAAAGTACAAGAAAGGTGGGGCTATGAATAGGGGTATTGAATGGTCTTTGGGAGCATTTGCAAGTACAAGCAGTGATCAAATTTGCCTCGTGAACAGCGACCACTTTTCCCAATAATAGTACATACAGCAGGTTCAAACGGTTGAGCTGAACTGTTGACTGACAAACTCAGAGGTAAGAATGTTTCAACCTCTTTGTTTCAATCAAATCATAACTGATTTATACAACTACAAAGCAGGATTCATGAAATTTCAAGCAATCGAGTACACTTGAGAATCTGAGCATGCAAGCAGTTGTGAAAATTTTGCAAGCAAAAGCAGGTGAGCTGTCATCAAATTTTTGCAAGCAATTTGAGCTGAGGTCAGATTTTGCAAGCACTTTTAAATGGGACCATTTGATACCCGTATCAAACCATGTTAAACATGAGTTGTGGGGGGAGATGTGAAGATGCAGGAAACAGCACACAGCTGCTTCAACTATATTGGGGATGCTTTCCATTCAACCAAGCATTTTGGAACTTTTGAAAGAGGGGCAAAGGTACAGAAATTTTGTTGTTAAGTTCCCTGAAAATCCAAAAATTGTTCAATTTCCAAATGCGAACCATTCAACAAAAAAATCTGGAGATTCAAGAAGAAAAGTCAAATGGAACAGAAATTACCGATAAACATTTGAGTATGCATCACAAGATTGTCTTCTTTCTCAGATATTCTCGAAAATGATGTCCCATTGACCATGGAAAATTTCCTCCAAGTCTGGTGTAATCCCCCCCTCGCTGAATGAAAAGCACCATGGGTCTTAGGGGCAGGAAGAAAAGAGACCCTGGTGACTAGTTGAGGCCTTGTCACTAAGAAGAATGAGCTGAAATCTTTTTATGACCTAGAGTTGTCAAGTCACCCAGTATTGTATGCCTAGTGATGATTTTACTTTTTTATTGTTTACTGATTATTACGGCAAATTCAAACACTTCATTCTGTGAATAATTTTTTAAGTTCTTGCTATATTTATTTAGTGTGATGGTTGTGTTACACAAGTTGAAGATAGTTGTACATGTATTTGTAGGTTTCCTTTTTCCGACTGAGTGACTGATGGGCATTAAAGCAAATGATAGTTTTTTACACTTATAGTAATTAACAACAAAGCACACCGCTATGTACAAAAGTTACAAAACCTTCAAATAAATAAACTAGTTCAGAGGCTACTTTAAAGNTCAAACTACAGACAAACATTGTGCCTTACAGCCACCCTTTATTCTAAGAAAACTTTGAAAGTATGACACTTGGAATTATAATTCTTTTATTAGAAACGCCCCCAAAATATAAACCTACATATATAAAATAAAAATATCATCTCAAAAACTTACGCATATGGCTTAGTACTTTTTGTAAAGCATTGTATAACTGCTCATATACCATGATGGCTAGCCAATGAAAACTCTTGAATTGCATTATTTAGTGATCCGGTTTTTTATAAATTGAGTGAGCCTGCAGTGCAGCTACATGGACATGTCACAAAATCTTCGATATAGTCTATACAGGTGGTGTAGTCTGTCTGTGATGCAGGCTAATTAACAATTATTCCACCAGCGTGTGTTGGATTTGAGAGCCAATGAGGTGTGAGGAAGGAGAGAGTGAAAATAATCCTTATAATTTGCAGCCACATCACTTTTACTACCAATGGATACAACTACGCCATCACATGGAAAACAGAGTTCATTTCCAGTTTTACCATTACTTCGTGTTACAGATGTAGTACATTTTTATAGCTATGACTAAAAGATTTTTTCCTCTTACCCAGAATTTTTTGGTATTCTGGAGCAAAAAATCCAATGTCTTGCTCATGCATCTGCAGTTCCTGAAAAGAGAAGATTGTTCATTCAATCAATCGATCGATCAATTAATTGATCAGTCATTCAATAATTCAATCTAATCATCAAGGAGTACCTAATTATATACCTTGAAGCTAGAAACAGGATTTATAGTAATCATAATAAGATATTACAAAATAACTGAAATATTATGCACATCCTCATTAGTCGATAGGCGTGTTCAATTAGATGAGAGCATGTATACACAGTTGTGACATATCTTTGAGAAATATTTTATAAAAGCAATAGGAGACTTTTCCCATGTTTATATAACTTCATCTAAACACTTGGGAGATTGGGAGATTGGGAGATTGGGAGAATTTCCGAAAAGTTATGGAAACCTCCGACTGCATCTTGAGTTTGCATAACTGTCTTGAATTCTCCAACCCCCCTCATGTTTAGATGAGGCTATGTAAACAAGGAAAAAGTGCTCTTGCTAATTTATAGAATTGAGAGAGTTTTCCTTGGTACAAATAAGAAGCTCCACAATCCAGGACTACAGTAATACAGGTTTAAGTTACTGGGCAGGTGTACATGTTTTATACACACACTCATACACATTCCTTCAGCTTGCACTTACAGTATTTAGTTTCCTTATCAGTTATATAATAATTTCAAATACTGTTTCTTGACAAACATGGAAACAATGATGTTATGAGATAACTGCATGTGCTTTAATAATTTACTTAATGACAAAGTCTGAGCTACAGTATTGATAGCCACTCACTTTTAGCCCCTCTATAAGCTGGACTTTTTTGGCCAGTAACAGCTGGTACTCCAGCTTGGGATGAATGAGGTTAAGCGTGTGTACCACAGAATCTTCATTAAGATCTAAAAGGAAAGTGCACAGTTATATTAACATTAATTTGTAGCATATTTCAAGAGTAGCCTATCTCATTTTTCTAACCAAACAATGTTGTTACAGAGAGAAAAAAAATTAGTCATGGATTGACAACATACATGTATTTGTGGTTGAAGATGATATGACTACCAAGGAGAACAGATTCATTCAAAGGACACAGTGGGAGATCACTAATGTAATGTGTCAAAATGAATGTAAAGAGAGATGCCATGCCAGAAAGGTGGAAAGACCATCCTCATTTGGTCAGCTGCTGTGTAATTCTTGAAAGAACATATCTTAACCAATTGACATACTAAATAGAGCTGACAAGACAAACCATAAGAAATGTTGAGGTTGATTTTTCTTTTAGTAGCCTCTTTGGTAAGAACATCTTTGAGAATTGATATCGTTGAGATATTGTCCGATTTGAAGATGGCTTCTCCTTTTCTAGAAAGGAACAAAAGGGTTACAGTGTATGATTGACTGACTTACAGTTTATGGAAATTTCATCCTCATATGTACAAGTCTTTGGAAAGGGTTAATTAGCTGACTGAAAATGGTTATAATACACTAACTGCTTCAGATATCACCTCAAAATTGAGAGTTCAAGGATAGGTAGCTGCTGTAAGGGGAACGTTTTAGCATATTTTAAATATGTCCAATATGTAGAGAAAGCTTCTGTTCTGCAGTAGCCACCAATCCTATCAACTGCTGAACCACTAGTGGCACCTTACCAGCATCTTTCCTGCAAGTGTAAGCAGTCAGCTCCAGTAACAGACACTTCCTCTGTTTCTTGAGGGTGTCTGCTTATGGAAGCTTCAACTGTATCTGTGGATCGTTGAGCCTATCTCCACCCAGGTATGCAGATGTGCAGAAACAAAACCATGTGCCATAATGAGAGCAAGGGGGTGTGGGGTATGTTGGAGTGGATATGCATGCTATCAGACAGAAGTTACAATTCTCCAAGCCACTCTGAGTAATGCAAAACCAAAACATCTACGGTTGTTTATCTTCACTTCCTTGTTAGAATACATTAAATATCTTTGCTGGGTTTAGTTAAAAATTGTAATTATTGTGTTGTTCCAGAATGTATCCATACTCCGACCTCTTTCAGAGGCTTTCTTGGTTGAATTCCCCCACCACACTGGAAATTCCTGGCCAGTTTTAATTTATACTTTCCTTTTTCAGGGGCACCCAACGGATCGTTTCAGAAAATTATCTGTTTGGAAGGCCTTTGATCCCCTCTGATTTTCTTAAGAGAATTGCCACCTTGAACTTTCGTGATATGAGAAATTTAATGTCTGTTGTTTTTGGATTGTTAAAAATGTCATATTGGGTACCGAAAAAAGGTCAGCTATCATTTTCGGAAAGACAGTAAGACCTAAGATTTTCGGGAAATGGACAAAAAAGCCCTTAGCTAATAAGTCTGAGAATACTCGAGTTCCCCTAGAATAACTGAACAGACAAAATTTTTTTAGTGCAACCTAAAATTAACCTACAGAGCTTTAAAAGTACTCCAGATAGCCTAAAACAGCATTTAAAAGCATTCGAGAGAAAACAGTCTTTGGGTGCCCCTGCTTTTTTTAAAAAATGTTGGCTTTTGAGACCCCCTCACCTTTACAGTTTCTAATAACCCTCCTTAAGGTGGGTATGGATATATTCTGGAAATAGCAGACGTTATTTAATTTTCACAGCTTACTTGTACTGACAGTCCAGCTGCGTGTCAAGAAACGTTGACAGAAAATGGAAGCTCACGTGGTCCCCTGCCGGAGTTCTATTAGAAATAAAAACATTGTTGATGAAAGTGGAAATGAGAGATCAAGTAACATCTGCAGTTGTGTTTTTGTTTTTGTTTTTTCTTTTAGAGGACCAACAAAATCTTAAAATAATTTATTGTCAGCTGGAAACTAGCATGCATAACAGGTGGTACATATGAGAATAAAATGCAGTATTTTGCAACGGCAATTGAAAATAATTATTAATAGCATTTGGAAGATGGGCAACAAGCAAACTGCGAGACGAACTGAGAGTATCAGACTGTTGCTAGTTTTCTATTATAATTTGCCTTGGAATACTGTATTTGTATGAGCATAACCATGTGCTATGCAGGTTCCTTAGAAACTATCTTGACTCAAAAGCCTCTACAAACCTGTCAGGAACTTCAGGAAGACAGAAACTGACCCAGGAGTGAACTTCAGCAAGACTGAAATGACCCACTAACTTCAGTGAGTTCATTGGCCTGGTAAGAAAAACAAATGTAACAGTTGAAATATTATACAAACTGTAAAATTCAAATCAGTTGCTTGGTCAAATAGAAACCTAACCTTCGGAATTTTAGCTACAATAAGTCTAGCCTGGATATGGTAACATTAAATCCTTGATTCCCCGGCCTGTACCAAGATGTCATAAAACTTAGAATATTTACTTTGCCCTAGGGGAAGTTGAAAACATTAAGTTCAGCAAATCACTAGAAATATAGCTACCAGCCAGGCTTCAGCACAGCAGTAATGTAAACAATAAAAACTGCAGAGAAAATTATCTTTTATTGATTAACCCCTTGAGTGCCTATATGACGTACTGAGTACGTCAAATTTAAGAGATTTAGTCAAACTCCTGGCACACCAGAAACAACTGTTGTCAGCACCAGAGACTTATAGGAGATTTTTCAACAGACTTCAAAATTCCCATCGCTGTGATATCATATGGATATCAAATTACATCAACCTTAGCAAAATTGACCGCACTGAAGAGACACTTTTATGACCTTTCACAAAATGTGTACAGGTCTATTGTTTAAGTGAAAAAGCTTAATATGGCATTTAAAATTTTTACAAGACACCAGTTTTCAGTGAAAGTGGTGTTGCACAGTGTAAACAATGGTCAGGCACTCAAGGGGTTAATCACTGAAATCAGACTTTTTGTGCTCATGTCTTACTTTGATTCATCAAACACGTGAGTCCTTTGGTGTAGTGACAGAGGCTTGATGCTGTACTGTCGCACCTGACAGGTTTTGGGTTGAATCCTTGGTGTAATGTACGCCTGTAAAGTGCCATACTGTCCTTCTATTGATCTGATCTGAAATATGGAGGTAATGCTGACACCGTTATAATTATTTACTGTGTTGTACAAATTTTACAGGTTTCAAATACTGCTCTGACTTCCCAAGTGCATCTAGCCTGATTGATTGAGGCATTTCTCCTTGCAAACTCAGTTCTTAATCACAGAATATTAATTCAGACCAAGGGTAATAAATCTATTTAATCATTGTAGAAAACAATGTCAATTCTACCATGAAGTCCACCATGCAGTCTGTAGACTGCATTAGTAAATTCTCTCCAGAAGGCAAGGGAGTTGTGTTCTGTTTGCTTTATTTGTCCTACAGCTGCTTTGCAGTTTAATACTTAAACAAGTGACAAAAAATTAATGCCTAATTTCACAAACAGTACCATAACAGAATGTTACAACAATATTGATGTTTTCAAAAACATAAACACTCGCCAACCTTTAATTCCAGTCTTGTTGTGTTTGCTTGGCATCTGTAAGTTGCCAAAAGAAAATTCCCATTCTGAAATATCAATAAATTATTAAATAATAATTTTTCTCTACAAAAAAGAAAACCAGCTTAAGGTAAAATATTTATGAAATAGCCTGTGGAAACAAATACGCCATTCCTGTCCCCTCAGTGGAGCAGAAAACCAGTGTCTTGTGGTACACCAGACATACTGAAGAAAGGAGTTTGAGCGACTGACTACTGTGCAAATTAATTTGTGAGCAGCCATAGCTTTCTCAGTCATATCATTAACAAATGAGCAATCATATGAAAGCTCGAGAAATATTAAGGATTTTCACTACTGGTGATATTTGAAAAATTCTTTCAAATAGCAGTTTTCAAATTTATATCATACATAGTCACTGTGTAAATTCTCAGTTGCACTCGTATTCATATGATTATGTTCAACCTAAACTAAAGAGACAACTTACAGTGTTATTATTTTACCTCAATATCACAAGCACTGTAGCTGACTACAGCAGAATTTTTGTCCACATCCAAAAGATCAACAGGTACATCACTCTGTAACAAATGACACAAACTCAAATATCAATGAAAGAAGTACTTTGCCTGCTGGAGCATCTGAACATTCAACTATTAACATTTATAATCCACCAAATATTATCGCTCACAAGCAATATTATTGGTCCAAATGGACACGATTGTTTATTGTTTTATTACTCAACTTAATACTGAACAAACCTGTAAGAGAACATTGTCAATGGGAATCTGGACTTCAATGCTCAGTGTGTAACTAGCATCATCCCTGTTCAGAGCAAACTTGTCGTTGATAGCAAATTGTGGCATTGCTGACAAGGCATTGGCAGAATGTGCTGTATACTGGTACTTCTCACGTTCTTTTAACACCTTCTGTTGAAGGCTGTCAATTTCTAGCCTAAGAAATAAAATTGTGTACATTGAGAATATAAAATCTTGGCCTTGGAATTTAATGACTTGTTTTCAAAGAAAGAAACTCTTACTAATACTTGCTGCAGTTGATTGCAATTTAAGCAATGTTGATAATAGTTTTTCAAGGAAGCCTGAAGAGTATGGGACTTCACAAAGTTCACAAACCCTAAGTTTCATGGTGTACCAATGAATCTCTCATGTCCAATTAAGCCAAAAAGTTAACACACCACTGCTAGAGATGTATCTTCTCTTTACTTCTCCTTTCTTCTTTTTTAAGATGCAGTTTGTTGCTCCCCTTATAGAACCTTGCTCTGATCAATATACATGTATACTACAGGTTGCTTTACGTTATGCACACACATGGCAGCTGGTTACTATATAGATTACCTCTTACCTGAGGTTGTCAATCCTTGCTTGCACCTCATCGCTGATTGGTTCTTGTGATTTCGTCATGGGTCCCGCCTCCTTCTGCTGAGGTTCTGTAGTAAGACCCACCACCCACCCAGCATACGTGGCTGCAACTATCTCATCATACCCAGATGAACCCACACAACCACCACAAACAGAGGTGATGCTCTCACTCATGGCCTAGAAATAAAAATTGATGGCTAGTACACATGGACAAGATACCCTTCACATGCCAGGAGCAATTACCCCATGACCATGAAGTGAGTAGAACTAGAGCTTCACTTCACAATGATCTCAATGTACTCCGAGAGCGCAGTCATTGAGGAAGGATTAAGTAATATATACTCTCATTACATGTATGGGATGTGCTAATTGGAATAGGGATGCTTATTAACAAAGGAGATGCTTTTCTTAATTTTAAGAAGTAGGCACTTATCAGAATGAGGGCTAAATGGAATCTAAACTCAACACAGTGATACATGTTTTGACATTTTGAGAATTTCTCTTCTCAACACAGATATAAAACACTAAACTGAATGGAGCTACATGTATGGCATAACATTACATTGTACTTTCAACTGAAGTTGTTATCCTTGTCTCGAGTATTAATCCAAATGCTTTGTATTAGGGAAAATGTGTCATGTGGTTGTCTAGAATGGTAATCTATGACACTCATCAAAAGTCATTTTATGCCATGACTCAAGCAACTGGGTGTATGTAATCCTGAAAACAAATTTTCAAAGCCTGGTAACCTCTTTGAATCTGTGGACTGGCTCATCCATCTCGTCAAAACCATAAACTTCAACCAAACCATCATCACGGCCAACAAGAATATCAGGCACGCCATCAGCTGTTATGTCAAAGGTTTCTAATGACAAGACACCTGTAAATTTGGACAAAAAGTTCAGCATAAAAGTAGCAGTGTGAAGAATCTTCTTGTAAAAAAAATTCACATTTGACATCAGATTTTACAGCCTGTTACCATGAAAAGGCAAATTCACAGACACAGAAAATATGTACTTTGTTGTCTTTAAACCGGTGATTTTTGCTTCCACGAACATGTGACTTTTACCAGATGCCAGTCTTTGACTACTGTTTCTCAAATTTATCAATAGTTATAACTA